AGTATACACTGTATAGTAAAGAAAAATTCAATTATTTATTGAAGCTAATAGATGTACTTTTTCTTTTTTTATTTTACTGATAAAACATTTAAAGGAAGAAAATTTCTTCACACAGTTTTATAATACAGTATAATCCCTATTAACTGCCCCAAGCACTTGGAAAATTTGGAAAAGCAGAGTGTTGTTTTGGTTTTTCGCATTTTTATATTAAATGTCAAATTTTAACTACTGTACATGAAATCTTTTGAGGAAAAAAATTCAGAGAACCACTAAAAGATTATACGATTCCAGGTTAATTTAAACAAAGTACAGGGAGCCTCATTTCCCTACAATTAATTGAAAAAGGCATAGGGGCGCTTATAGGGACAGATCAATAGGAATTATATGTTACACGTTAAGAGTGTAGCATATTTTCATTGTTACTTGCAGTGAGGAATTTTTTGTAGAAGACGATGAATGCAGGCTGATACTCGCATAACACTGAACTTTCAGTCACTAATACATGCAAAGCCCGTTCTGCAAATTATTCCACATTTCCAACTATTGTTGATGCCCTGGCATACCCAACAAACTAGATAGTGATTCCTTATATTTCATTTTGAAATTAAGTTGTTAATTTAGATTTTAAAAATGTTGTCCAAGAGATTTAAATTACATGAAGCCTCCCATGTCAATATCAATAGTCCTTGCCCACTGACGTCAAACTTCTTAGCTCCTGACTTATGGCTTGGCAAAATCTACATTTCAGTAGAATGATCAAGAAATCAACTTATCTAACTCAAAGAGTTATCTTGGAGAAAACAAATGGAAACATTGCAAGATAAACCATTTTCTTTAGATTAAAATTCAGGCAGTTTGAGGGGAAAAAACACTTTGAAACTGGGTAACACTTCATGATTGAAGATGTATGGTAGATAAAGATAAAGTTTTAATAGTTTGAATTTCTAACATTTTGTTGTCTATAAACATGAAATTTAAGGACCCATGTGCAAGATAACTATCCCCTTCAAGTTTAGTAGAGCTCTGTTTATAAACCATTAATTAGATTTTATTTTTTTCCACAGACCCTCCTGCGAGGCCTGAACAAGTTCATATTCAAGTTTTGAACACCAGTGCTGTAAATGTGAGCTGGACTTCACCAGTAAATGACACGTCTATCATTGGTTACACTGTTCACATCCAATTTGATGATGATATTCTAACTCAGAACTCCACAACAGAGTCACTCGTCATATCTAACTTAGAGAAGCGGAAGAATTACACCATCGCTGTCACTGCATTCAGCCAGTACAGGACTAGTCAGGAGAGTGAACCAGCTTATGTAGAATTACCAGGTAATTCCTAATTGAGTGGCATTTTCAGTCACTGTTGCACATTCTTGTATATTGTAATACAAGGTTACTTTTGTTAGTACCCAAACTTGTTATCTGAAATGACATGAAAAACACATTACAGTAAAACTCGGTTATAGGGAATTTCTAGGGACCTGTGAATTTTATTTAATTCATTTTCATAAATTGTTATATTTATACAATGAATCTCTGATAGTATACATTTTGAATTCACTATATAGACTTTTTTCATGCATGACACCAAATGCATTTAGGGAGATATAAAGTACAAAATTTACATTGAACTTCAAAATTTTTCAGATAATTTGAGTTTTAAATATACAACTGTAAATACTTACCAAAATTATTGTCAGTATTTTTTTTTTTTTTGATTTCCTATAGAAGATGTAAATTTCATTATTTTAAGATTAAGGGGACACAAAATGAGTTCACTATAACCTTAAATTGGCTATATCTATGTCCTATACTGATTCTTTGTAGAAAGAAAAAGAGAGGAAATAGATGAATCACACACAGGTAAGGCAATGTCAACCTCTCAGACAAACTTCCTATCAGGATTAAGACATAACAAAGAGCGCTGTAGTGTATAAAAAAAAAATGACATTGGATTGTAGAACATGAAAATATTTTTTTTCTCTACTTAAGCCATAACTTTTGAACCATGAGAGATAGAGACTTCATATTTAGTTTGCATACTCCACTAATAAAGCTCTTTCAAATGATACCAAGATCATGACCTTGTGACCTTGACTATGACCTATATGCTAAAAAATAGCTTTTTAGACTTCTCGCCTTATCTTTTGAACCATAAGAGATAGAGACTTCATTTTTAGTATGCATACTCGACCAATGAAGCTCTTTCAAATGGCACCAAGATCAATGACCTTGTGACCTTGACTGTGACCTTTATGCTTAAAATAGCTTTTTTTAACTTAAGCCATAACTTTTGAACCATGAGAGATAGAGACTTCATATTTAGTTTTCATACTCCACTAATAAAGCTCTTTCAAATGACACCAAGGTCATGACCTTGTGACCTTGACTGTGACCTATATGCTAAAAAAAGCTTTTTAGACTTTTGGCCTTATGCTTTGAACCATGAGAGATAGAGACTTCATATTTGGTATGCATACACCACTAATGAAGTATTTCAAATGACACTTAGGTCGATGATCTTGGACCCCTGACTGTGACTTATCTTCAAAAAATATTTTTTTTTAACTTTGTTGCCGCTGGGTGCATAGTGTTTCACAAACACATCTTGTTTATCACTCTTAAAAGATGAATTAAGTAACGAAAAATATAAGAAAAAAACAATTATAATATATGACATTGTGTTTTTTTTTTATATTCAATTTGAAATTTATTTTGATCATGTTATTCTTTAGGATGTACTACGTGTCTTTATTTAAATAAGAAAAAGTATATGTTGAAATGCCTAATTTGTCTAATCAACAAATTGAGCAAAAACTTACTTTAAAAATAATATTATTATATTAAAATGCAAATTACATGTATATCATTCCTTGTAGCTGAACTATAAAATTTTAGAATTGGATTGATAGACTGTACATCTTTTTTATTGTTTCAGACTTCCTACTTCCAGTGATAGTCACAGCTGCAGTCGTTTTGTTTATCACCTTAGTTATATGCATACTGGTAATTTGTTTGCTATGGAAAAGGAGGAAAAAGTCTCAGAGAGAAGGTAACCAAAGTTTTATTCTATTCGGACATTAAACAATGTTCACGTATATGTGTTAATCCAGAGGGATATTTTTGATTGAATGTGTTAATTTTTTTGTACCAATTTTAGGGAGAGAAGGATCAGTTTCAAACGAAGAAACCAGAGCTCAAGAGATGGCAGTTCTTAAAAAATATAATAATAATACTGTGGTTAAAGTTGAAAATCCTGCCCCCGATCCTTCCATGACAGACAGGTTACTGGTCAATTTTCAGCTGCACAGCACTCCATTAACTCAAGCCAGTGACTCTGAGGAAATCCAATCTCTTACTCCCTCTCTGGACATACAGTCCTTTAATTCTCCCGAAGACAGTTTAGGACTCAGTGATGAACCAGAACTAAACCTTTCTTCTCTCAATCCTCTAGAGGAATCATCCAGCGTTGAAAACATTTCACAGTTTCCTAGTTCAAATGATGGACTTTCTTCTGTACTTGAACAAATTGATAAAGTTGAACCAGTGAAAAGATCTCAAAATGGGCAACAAAAGAGAGTGCCTGGATCTGACTCTGGTCGGGGGTCTGTCGCAGGGACAAGTTCTACCACATCAGATCCTGCTGACTTAAAGCTGAGTTTTTCTCAGGGCAGTGATAAGTCACCTCATGTACCAAGTTACAACCATCAGTTTTCTGCAGACTCTGGCAGAGAATCAGAAACAGACACTGGCGCTGAGCACTCTGTTAAGGGAAGGCCTCAGCCAGACAGAGGAGCAAAGGCTGCAGGAATGATTGATGATGTAATAGAGGACACTCTTACTACAGTGGCTGTAGAGAAGCAATATGGCTTACAGGCTCAGCCTTGTTGTCTCACACACATTTCTGAAGGGAGTAACGAAGATGATATCTCGATAAAACCCAGTAAGAGAATTATTCCTATTCTAAACAAAAGTGTAAACATGTACTAGTGGTTTAAACTTCTGGGTATTTTATTACTGTGGGTTCAGATGTTAACAGATAAAGATTTCCTTTTTTGGAAAAATACTTTCATTTGTGGACCATCTCATTATATTTTGTTGTTAGACATAAGGTGATGGCGAAGTAAGAAATTATGACCAAAGAACTATATGCGGTATATTGCATATATTTGCCCCCACAAAAGTCAAATTTTGAAAACTTCCTGAAAAGTGCTAAATTCAATAAATTGTATGAGAAATATAATTAACAGAAAATATTATAGTGTCAAAGCAGTGTATTCACAATTCTTGTTTTTATAACGTCACAAACTAGTCCGATTTTATATCCTTTTTCAGAAAGAGAACAAAATGGACAAAATTTCAACAATTTTAGCTTTAAAATTTATAGAGCGCAAGTTTGTTCAGGAACAGTATTGACATATTTCATTGGTATCATCATTCTACACGTTATATCAAAATATTGATCCTGAACACACATGCGCTCGGTGACTTTTACTCAAAATATTGATGAAATATGTACATTTTTCTGTAAAATTCATAAAAAACTGAAATTTACGTCATGTTTGTGATGTCATTACATACATATGGCATCATAACTTATGAAAATATTCAGTACTTTGAAGTCAGCATATACTCCCCTGTTTAAGAACTTAATTAAATATACCTCCATCAAAGTTTAATTTGGGGGGCAAATATTGGTTATTACCGAATAAAGTTCTTTTATCAAATCTGTTGGCAGTTTATTGTTATATATGAGATAACTTTTCTTTTCATGAAAAATAGAGCAGAGGATTGCCTATCTGAGATTTTTGTACCCAAGGTGCATATGATCAATGTGCATAAAAAATTTAAATTTTCAGATAGGCAAGCTTGTGGTTAGATATGTAGACCCCTCAACACACACACAGACAAACACACACACTTACTTGTATGCTTTTGTGCTTTACTTAATTTTCTATTCCTATATTGTGAACATAAAGAAAACTTTTAAGCTTTTTCATTACTAGTTAAATCAATTTACAAATAGCTATTGTCAGTATTGTTTTCAATGAGTAATCAGGCAATGCATGTTTTCAAACCTATTTTGTTAATATGGCACTTGCACATCATTCTATTATTTTCACTAGATCCTGAGGAATGTTCCATCACCATTGCAGCATTTATTGACAGCCCTGACAGCTACCATAATCTAGAACACTTAAGTGACTTACTGGATCCTGACGATCACTATACCCCAATGAAAAGCTGGAAGGGTTTTGCCAAAGATGCATTAGAATTGGAAAACTACAAGATTATTGCCATTGCGTAAGACAAAGAAGGAAGGGCATATTGCTTTGCTTCTGTCTGTCAGTTGGTTGGACAGTCTGTCTGTCAGTTTGTCTGTTAATTAACAGTTTCTGTTCATTATACATCCCGCTTGAAAAGTGGGAGGGTATATATACTCACCGTCAATAGAAACGCAACACCCTAATTTTAGGGGTGAAAATTATATTCGGGATATAACTATGTACCAAAAAAGTTAGGGCATCTTTTACTTTGCCAAATCAGTTATTTAACAGTTGAATGATTTTCATTCCATTACCGGAAGATGATTTTTGGCTCCCTGAACAGAAACCAAAAATTAGCATTTTTAATAAAATTATCGACGATATTTTGGGTTTTCAAGGTTATGTACTTGTTAATTATAAGTCTTGCACTAAAAGTCCGGAAAAAATATCCTTCTTTCTCTTCTGGATGTGATGCCTATATTTCCTCAAAGTAACTGAAAGCACGCATTTTCATTGCTTATGTTGGAAATTTTCAAAATAAAGTAAAGGGAGAGCTACAGATGCAAATATACACTACATAACGACTTCGGGCTCATGTGTTTCAGAAGCATGAATGACAGTTCCTTGACCGGAAGTCCAAGGGTTACTACACTACGCCAAGTTAGAGAAAATTCGACCTCAGTATCTGAAAAACAGGCATTAAAAAAAGGACAAGAATATTTATTTCGCTCAGATTAAGACATTGATAAACTTAATGCATGGTAGAATTCTGGCTACTTATGTTGTACCTGGCGGACTAGCACGTTTTAATTGAATGGTCGGAAGGGGGGATGTTTTAGAGTTATGTGTTACTTTATAAGGTTTAAAGATAAGATTAAGAATGAATACATAAATGTAAAAAGTAAATTTACAAAACAATGATACTTCATTTAAACTTTAAATGTTATCTTTAGACCTTAGAAAGTAACACATAACTTTTAAAACATCCCCCCTTCCGACCATTCAATTAAAATGTGCTAGTCCGACAGGTACAACATAAGCAGCCAGAATTCTACCATGCATTAAGTTTAACAATGTCTTAATCTGAGCGAAATAAATATTCTTGTCCTTTTTTAATTGCCTGTTTTTCAGATACTGAAGTCGAGTTTTCTCTAACTTGGCGTAGTGTAGTAACCCTTGGACTTCCGGTCAAGGAACCGTCATTCATGCTTTTGAAACACATGAGCCCGAAAAGTCGTTATGTGGTGTATATTTACATCTGTAGCTCTCCCTTTTCTTTATTTTGAAAATTTCCAACATAAGCATTGAAAATGCGTGCTTTCGGTTACTTTGAGGAAATACAGGCATCACATCCGGAAGTGAAAGAAGGATATTTTTTCCGGACTTTTAGTACAAGACTTATAATTAACAGGTACAAAACCTTGAAAACCCAAAATATTGTCAATAATTTCATAAAAAATGCTAATTTTTGATTTCTGTTCAGGGGGCTAGAAATCAACTTCCGGTAAAGGAATGAAAATCATTCAACTGTTAAATAACTGATTTGGCAAAGTAAAAGATGTCCTAACTTTTTTGGTACATAGTTATATCCCGTATATAATTTTCACCCCTAAAATTAGGGTGTTGCGTTTCTATTGACGGTGAGTATATTAATCGGTATGTCCGTCCATCCGTCTGTATGTTACGCTTTTGGGTACCCATCTCTTATCCAAAACTCCTCTTATACCACTGAGTGAAATTTAATTAAACTTTCATAGAATCTTTATGACATATTGCCATTGTGCACCTACTATTTTACTTTTGATCCCAGACATATTTTGGGATTCCCGGCTACAGCAAAACATGGACTTTGCCATTATAACCATATGGGAGGCGGGGGTATCATTTAGTGAGTTCATTGCTCACATTACCTCTAGTTTTCTTTGTAGAGGTTGCTCATACTGAAATGAAATTTGGTATGCATACAGATTTATCATAAGAATATCTAGGTCAAGTTCTGTTTTTCTGTACAATTTTCGACAGAGTTATGTTTCTTGGACTTAGAAAATTTCAATTATCTGCAGTGTCCATTCCCATTCATTGTGTCCATCCATTGCATAAACTGAAATGAAGTACAAAGAGTTAACATAAGAATATTAAGGTCAGGTTTTGTTTTGGATAAGTTTAAACAATTTTTGACAGAGTTATAAATGAAGTACAAAGAGTTAACATAAAAATATTAAGGTAAGGTTTTGTTTTGGATAAGTTTAAACAATTTTTGACAGAGTTACTGTAAATCACTTAATTTTCGCGACACCTTATTTTCGCGAGATAGTCATTTACTCTTGATTAGGGAGACAAAATTTTCACGAATTGTGGTTATTGCTCTATATTATCTTAAGGAATACTATTATACGCGAGAATTAAATTTTCGTGAATACACTGTCTCGCATAATTACGCGAAAATAAAGTTCTCGCGAATAAAAAGTGATTTACAGTATACCCCTTGGACATAAAAAAATTCATTTCCATATACACTGCCTTTAAAGTATACATGCATTGCCCATAATAAAGGATTGTGACCCTGTAATGTTTGTTCAAAAGGGGGAGGGGCATAAGTGTTTCAGAAACATCTCTTTTTTATCTTTTAATTTAATATTATTAAAGGACACATTCTTAAGCAAACTTTATGGCTGAGCTAAAGCCTTGAGCATTTCTGATTGAAAGAAATATGCACACTAACTCTCGATTCTTGCCTACATTTTGCACCCATTTAACGAGGTCCAATCTACTTGATCTGAGCATACATTTTAACGCAGCGTTGACTCAGGACCGTCACAATACCCTTGACTGCCGTCACAATTGAACACAATAACGTCACGATTAAAATGACGTCAAATTGCGCTAAAATGATTCACTGATCTTGCTTACCTGGTAGCTCTGTAGACTGTGCATTGAAAGCTGGCATTTCTATTATTTACAATTTTTAGGTCACCTGAGTAAACTCGGGTGACCTATTGCCATCTGTTTTCGTCCGGTGTCGTTTGTTGTGCGTCGTGCATTGTACGTTAACATTTGAACATTTTCAGCTTCTTCTCTGCAATCACTGAACCAATTTCAACCAAATTTGGCACAAAGCATCTATGGGTGAAGGGGAACAAAAATTGTGAATTTCATTATCCCTGCCCCCCTGGGGCCTGAGGGGAGGGGCCAAAACCACTAAAATTAGTGAAATCTTTGAAAATCTTCTTCTTTACTCCTGGACATCAAGCAGTCAAACTGTTTGCATGATTGTAATCAGCATTAAGTCCTCTACCAAATGGCCCTGGGGTGAAGGGTTCTAGTGCTAAAGTGGGACTAAATAAGTATATAGTGAAAATGCACTATTTCTTTGAAAATCTTCTTCTCTACTCCTGGGTATTAAATAAACCAACTAAGTGCATAGTTATAATGAGCAAGAGTGCCTCTACCAAAATTGTGAATTTTATGGCCCCAGGGTCAGGGGTTCTGGTGTTAGGGCGGGGCTCTATAGATTATATAGAGAAAATACATGAATTATTTGAAAATCTTCTTCTCTGCTCCTAGGTATCAAATGAATAAACTAACTGCATAGTTATGATGAGCAAGAGCGCCTCTACCAAAATTGTGAATTTTATGGCCCCAGGGTCAGGAGTTCTGGTGTTAGGGTGGGGCTCTATAGATTATATAGTGAAAATACATGAATTATTTGAAAATCTTCTTCTCTGCTCCTAGGTATTGAATAAACTAACTATGTGCATAGTTATGATGAGCAAGAGTGCCTCTACCAAAATTGTGAATTTTATGGCCCCAGGGTCAGGGGTTCTGGTGTTTGGGTGGGGCTTTATTGATTATATAGTGAAAATATATGAATTCTTTAAAAATCTTCTTCTCTGCTCCTAGGTATTAAATAAACTAACTAAGTGCATAGTTATGATGAACAAGAGTGCCTCTATCAAAATTGTGAATTTTATGGCCCCAGGGTCGGGGGTTCTGGTGTTAGAGCGGGGCTCTATTGATTATATAGTGAAAATACATAGATTCTTTGATTTTTTTTCTCTGCTCCTAGGTATTAAATAAACTAACTAAGTATATACTATAGTAATGATGAGCAAGAGCGCCTCTATCAAAATTGTGAATTTTATGGCCCCAGGGTCTGGTTTCTGTTGTTAAGGCGTGGCTCTATTGATATTATAGTGAAAATACATGAATTCTTTGAAAATTTTCCTTTCTGCTCCTAGGTATTAAGCAGGTGAACATACCTATATAGTTATGATGAGCAAGGGTCCTAATCTTCCAGAATTGTGAATTTCAAGGCCCCTGGGTCAGGGGTATCATAGACGGGGGGTGGGGGGCTACTTATATACTAAAAATGAATGAATTGTTTGAAATCTGCTCCTTGGTATTAATCAAATATTTTTGAAAAGCAAGGATGCAATTGTGCACTGTTTGGATCTAGGCCTAAGGGTCAGGGGTTCATGTGTGAAAGGGGCACTACTGATTAGTTGACATGCATTTTTTCCTCCCCTACCCTGCCTTTGGGTATTAAGTAACCAAACTAAGCAACTGTTAAGTGTATTGTTATAATGATCAATGGTGCCTCTTTCAAAAATTGTGAATGCCATAGCATCTGGCTTTAAACATGAATCAAATTCAGTCACTGGAAAGTTGTTGCATAATGCTCAGGTGACCTATAAGGCCCATGGGCCTCTTGTTTATATAAATATTTGTTTAAATTATTAACAACTTTGGAACATAAGTAATTTTGAGGGATCAATTTTTTGTTACAGATTCATTAATTTTGTCTTGTTTTATTTCAATTCGTGAGTTTAAAAAAAACAAACACTGCAACCAAAAGGAAACGATTTTAGCCTTTCTCCTTGAACATGTTGAAGTGTTTAACTTTATACACACTCTTTTTATTGCAGACTTAAATATGCATGGATTATCTTCAGTTTTAAAACAAAATAAGTCTATGAATCATTAAAATGCAACTCCCGAAATATTTTATTTTTCTATATACCGTATAAGTGGAAATTTTAGCGAGACAAAAATTTAGCGATTTCTACCTGAAATCTGGTATTTTATTTTTAGCGAGAAGTAATTTTGGCGATTTTAAAATGGTTTCTAAAGAAGCTATTACAAATAATACGTAATTAGGGCCCCGCAAGGATTTGCGGATGCCCTATAGTAATCACTCTGTCTGTCCGTCCGTCCGTCCGTCCGTCTGTCTGTCTGTCTAGCTGTCCGTCTGTCCGTCTGTCACTCTTCCGTCCACAAATTTCCTGTTTTTTTCTAATAACTTTTTTTATGGTTGCCCAATCAAGTTTAAATTTGGTATGGTAGTTTAATAGGCAGAAATACATATTTTGATGCTAAGTTTGATTCTCTATGTCTTCTAGTTTGGAGCTGGGGTGGTGGGGTAGATTCCTTAACTATGCATAAGAATGAACGGGCAACTTTTTTTATGGTTGCCCAATTAAGATCAAATTTGGTACGGTAGTTCAGTAGGCAAAAATACATATTTTGATGCTAAGTTTGGTTCTCTATGTCCCTTGGTTTGGAGCTGGGGTGGTGGGGTAGATTCCTTAACTTTATATAAGAATGCATTGGCAAAGAGAGATAACTGCTGAAGATGTTCCCATTCAGTAAACTGAATGCTACTAGGAGTCCCATGAGATTAATTAGCTTTCCTCTTGAAGAAAATCCAGAGGATTATCTTTATCTGTCACTTTGAGATTAATTACCACCTCTGTCTGCAAATGAAGTTTGTTTTGAAGTTAAATCAATTTGGAATGCTATGAACACTCTGAAATGTGGATTTAAATATAAATTTTTATTATTTATTTTTGTTTGATAGTTATGATTTCATTGAATCCTAAAAAAAGAAATAGATTAAAGAAGATTTTTTGATTTACCAGGGTACTTTTTTTTCACTTTTTTTCTTTTTTTTTTAAATGTATTAATTCAAGAATGTTTTCAATTTTTAATGTAGTTGTATAAAAACCCCATTCTATCATAAATACTGAAAAAGTTCTTATTGTAACTTTAGAAGAAAATGATGAGAGAGGTACAATTAATCCCTTGGGATTAATTATCTAGCCTGCTGCAGAAAATTTAGTAGGCTTCTCTTTATCTGTCACTTTAAGATTAATGAAAACCTTTGTCTGCAACTGCTGTTTGTTTGAAGTTAAGGTCAAGCCTTCATGATATTTGCATTCATTGAAGGCTGGCATTTTATATAACACAAGATTCATAATTGTTTAAATATAAATTCAATGTTAAGTTGTTCTTTACTGCTTAATGTAAATACAAGAATATTATTTTCAGGTTTTTGAATATTCAGGAATTATGATGAAATTTTAAGAATACAGTTGCTGTTGCTTTTTCTTTGTACATTTATTAATCATTCTTAAGCTGCACCCTTTTAATTCTACCCCATGGCGGGGCCCTTGCTGACTGGTCAGTTTTCTAGTTAATTTTTAGCGATATTCAATTTTAGCGATGCCAGCACTCTCGCTAATAATGCCAAAATTAAATCCTCGCTAAAAATTCTACTTATACGGTATTACATGATATTAGTCGTAAAATAATCGTAATTTTGTCGACTTTACCCCCCCCCCCTCCTCCCTCTACAACAACGTCACTTGTTAAAAGAAAAATAAAGCATGGCTAGAAAATTATTTCATAATGTAAGAATTATTTATATTTTAGAAACTAATACAGAATTGCAATCATTTGTTGGTGTTACGTAAACGCATTGCGACTTATAAAATATACTCACTTTTTCTTTCATTTTTTTACTCTCCCTCACTCTAAAAGGCTAGTAGAGTGTCACAGTTTATATAAAATTAAAAGCAAAATGGCTAGATATTTTGGTCCCCTGGCCTCCCCCTTCTATCTTTGGATAACTAATTACTGTTTATATTTTACAGTGCAAGGTGCAAAGGAGGCAGTCCATTTCGGACGGAAGTTCTGGACATCATGAAAGCCAAAGGAATCAAGATTGGACATTTAGTATCTTATTTTTCAAGGACTGAGCATTTACGCACAGATGTGTTGAAAACAATCACTAAATTCCACACAGGATGTAAATTCTGTGATAGTTTATTAACACAGCCCTATGTGTCTGATTTCAAAGAAAATGAAATAGCTAGATGAGACAGCATTAGTTTGTGAGTTACATGTGTTAACCATGTTGTGATGAAATTCTGAAAGAAAATGTGCAATGCATAAAGTTGGTGCAAATGGTCTGTGATATGCTAGGGCTTTCAAAAATTGAAAAAAGGGGTCCTACCAAAAACCAAGTCAGAAGAGAAAAATGAATTGTCCTTGGCAAATCGATGAGCAAAAGACATTAACTTCTACTGTGAAAACCAGGATGAGTTAATAGCTTGCTAACTACAATGTTTTCAATCATGTTTACATATTGATGTTGGGCACAACCAATCAAAGATGTTATAGCTTGGACTAGACACAAAAAATTATGACTGTAAAAGAAGATATTTATAACAATTGCAATCGCCAATGAGTTGTGGAGGGTACCTGTATAATTTTTTTAGTTTTTAGACCCATTCATCAGTTAGTCTTTAGTCCTGTTTTTGTCAATTATTTTAACTCCTCTGAATTTGATAAAACAGAATTTTGTGAAACTTTGTAGTTAAAAAGGACTCAATGTATAGGTACATACCAGGTATGCGTATTGTAATAAGTAGGTTTTAAAGAAGGATTATTGTACATGTACAAAGTCTTATTTACAGGCTGCCTCAGATTCATGTTATATAAGTAATCACATTAAAGACTGTGTTCTTTATGATGACTGTGTTTTCATAATTGTAATTATCTTAATGTTAACTATTTTGTAAAATTTTTATAATTATAAATAAACTTGTTCATTTAACATAATACTGTAGATTCCTTATTTTTCACAAGTACTTATTATCGTGAATGGGCTTTTTAACATCAATTTGCGAAAAGTATAATTTGCGAATGGACGGTTGGTCAAGAGATTTAACATAGATTTCAGCACCGTAAAAATAAAGGCGAGTAATTTTAATTTGTGTGGTGCTTCTCGCGAAATTACGCAATAATTAATTCCTCGCATATATTTTGGAATCTACAGTAGGCAGCTAGAACATTCTGAAATACTTAATTCAAGATTTTTTCTGAATCTTCATGTCCATCTTTATTTACTTAAAAATCAGATTATGACGTATACAGAGAGCTTTATTTGAGTCTAGAATGTAAATAGTTATGAGTAGCGCTGATTGAAAGTACAATTTTGTGTGTCATGTACTCTGGGTTAGTTTTGTGTGCCTGGTCTTTATGAAAATATATTTTGTTACTTATATATATAGATCAGGTTTCCACTGCTTACACCAGTATATTTTATAGAAGAATCTCTTATGTTAACAAATATGATATTTATAGTGATTATTTGATAAAATCAAAACCAAATTTTTGATTTTTCATTGAATTTTAAGTTTCAAATAATTTATTTGTAAATGTTATTTTTTTTTATATAGATAACATAAATTATTTAAAATTTTATGTACATATATTTATATTTTTTGTGCGTATGATGTAAATTTTCAACCTTGTTATGATTTTTTTATCATTTAGCAATTATATGTTTTTTTTAATTTTACATCAACTTCATAATTTTATATAAATGAAACTGAATTCTTTCTACTAAAATTTAAAATCATAATACAGTCTTCATTAAAAATAATATAAATTGCAATTTTCAGTTTTAGTCAATAGTGCTTTATAAACTATGGTTCAGAATTTTGAAAGGATTTCACCTAACAAGTATTATACACATTTTTTTGTGCCATAATTTTATGATGGAGCATATGTACATTTTTGGGGGTATTTTTCAGTAAATATGCATTTCATATACAACCAATATGTATATATTACAGCATTGAAATCCCCATTTATATTTCTTTTCTGTCTAAAAAAGGCAGGAATCAGAATTATAAACGAGCATTTTTTACAGACATGAGTGAATACATTATAAATGTATTTATACATGTGAATTAAAAGTTAGTTGCTTTGCATACCTGATAGAAGCTGTGTGTTAGTACAGATATGAATCCTCTGTAAATCATTATTTAACCTTGTGTCTACTACCTCATCACTTTTTTCATAGAACATTTTCATATACCGGTACTTTATTGAGGATTCTTCGATTGAATGTAATGCTGAGAATTCCTGTTGAGAAAAAACTCATTAACAGGGTAATAATAAAGAATTTTAACAAGAACACTTGGTATCAGAATTTTTGTATGAAGATATAACATTATCTATTAATTAAAAAAACTTTTAATTTAAGCATTGATAGTTCCCTAAAAGTATTTGAAATTCATCATAACGAAGTCACCAAACTGAAAATAATATGGATGGTATGCAGAATGTCAAAGCCCATCTTGTAATACTTGAGTAAATGGAGTAAGAAAGCTGCAGGCATGTTTACGAAATTTCTTAAGATTGTTCATAAGACATTCCCTAAGTTACATCTGAGGGAAATCTTAGGATCATCGTAAGATTATCTTAAAGTTTTTTTCAAAGCTATCTTATGATTATCGTAAACTAAGATGTCTTAAATCTTTATGACATAGAAATACTCAAAGCTGTAAAGGTGCAAAAATACAGATTTGAAGTTATTTTTAGCTCACCTGAGCCGAAGGCTCAAGTGAGCTTTTCTGATCACATTTTGTCCGGCGTCCATCTGTCTGTCTGTCTGTCTAGCTGTCCGTCTGTCTGTAAACTTTTCACATTTTCGACTTCTTCTCAAGAACCTCTGAGCCAATTTCAACCAAACTTGCCACAAAGTATCCTTGGGTAAAGGGGATTCAAGTTTGTTCAAATGAAGGGCCACACCCTTATTCAAGGGGAGATAATTGGGAATTAATGAAAATTTGGTGGCATGTTTTAAAAATCTTCTTCTCAAGAACCACTGTGCCAGGAAAGATGAAACTTATGGGTAAACATCCTCAGGTAGTGTAGACTCAAGTTTGTTCAAATCATGACCCCCAGGGGTAGGACGGGGCCAAAATGGCCGACCAAAGTTTTACATAGAAACATATCTGTAGGAAAATTCTTTAAAAATCTTCTTCTCAAGAATAGCAAAGCCATAATTGATCATATTTATATGGAAGCATCCTCAGGTAGTGTAGATTCAAGTTTGTTCAAATCATGACCCCCAGGGGTAGGGCGGGGCCAAAATGGCCGACCAAAGTTTTACATAGAAACATATAGGAAAATTCTTTAAAAATCTTCTTCTCAAGAATAGCAAAGCCATAATTGATCATATTTATATGGAAGCATCTTCAGGTAGTGTAGATTCAAGTTTGTATAAATCATGACCCCCGGGGGTAGGGCGGGGCCAAAATGGCCGACCAAAGTTTAACATAGAAATGTATAGGAAAATTCTTTAAAAATCTTCTCCTCAAGAATAGCAAAGCCATAATTGATCATATTAATATGGAAGCATCTTCAGGTAGTGTAGATTCAAGTTTGTTTAAATCATGACCCCCGGGGGTAGGGCGGGGCCAAAATGGCCGACCAAAGTTTAACATATGAATGTATAGGAAAATTCTTTTAAAATTTTCTTCTCAAGAATAGCAAAGCCATAATTGATCATATTAATATGGAAGCATCCTCAGGTAGTGTAGATTCAAGTTTGTTCAAATCATGACTCCCAGGGGTAGGGCGGGGCCAAAATGGCCAACCAAAGTTTTACATAGAAATATATAGGAAAATTCTGTAAAAATCTTCTTCTCAAGAATAGCAAAGCCATAATTGATCATATTTATATGGAAGCATCCTCAGGTAGTGTAGATTCAAGTTTGTTCAAATCATGACCCCCAGGGGTAGGGCGGGGCCAAAATGGCCGATCAAAGATTTACATAGAAATATATAGGAAAATTCTTTTAAAATCTTCTTCTCAAGAATAGCAAAGCCATAATTGATCATATTTATATGGAAGCATCCTCAGGTAGTGTAGATTCAAGTTTGTTCAAATCATGACCCCCCAGGGGTAGGGCGGGGCCAAAATGGCCAACCAAAGATTTACATAGAAATTTATAGGAAAATTCTTTAAAAATCTTCTTCTCAAGAATAGCAAAGCCATAATTGATCATATTTATATGGAAGCATCCTCAGATAGTGTAGATTCAAGTTTGTTCAAATCATGACCCCCAGGGGTAGGGCGGGGCCAAAATGGCCGATCAAAGATTTACATAGAAATATATAGGAAAATTCTTTTAAAATCTTCTTCTCAAGAATAGCAAAGCCATGATTGGTCTTGGGACTAATTTTGGATGTAAGCTTTTCAAGTATAAACCAATTCTGCTTTTTCCTAGCCATAGTGCTCAGGTGAGCGATGTGGCCCATGGGCCTCTTGTTTTCTGTATAATATTACACTGATATGTTGTAATAGCATTTCACACGAAAATGTATGAAAAAAATCTTATTTCATCTAAAAGTTATTGAAAAATAAAATTTATGGATATGTTTGATTGACACATCCTTGCACTTTCACAATTTTAATTTTATTCGTAATACTTAACAAAAGAGGCAATCTTGTTGTGTATTAATGAAAAATAGTAAAACTATAATCCAGAAATTTCAGAGTAGAAATGTTCGAAAAGCAAAACCCTCTCTCTCCACGCACACACTCTCTTTCAGGTTAAGATAGATTAAATAGTTTTATTCTGTTAACAGGTTACATCTTACTATGTATGTTGTGCATCTGCTTGAGGCACTGATTGTCATAAGAGAATTCTAACCATGGGTATCCTTGAAAAGTAGATGCATGCAGACACGTACTTGAACTGGGATGGGGGTGTGTGCAAACATACTTTTTACAATACCATTGAAAATGTTAAGATCACCCATTCCCAATTTTTTTGTAGTATAGTAAAATAAAAGTAATGTAGTAGTGTATGATAAAAATTTGGCACCGAAGGAAGTTTGAACCTAGGCCCCCCTCCTCACCAGCATGAAATAGAAATTTGGAGCTAGAAAACTTTACTTTTATTTTTCGCTTTTCAAGATTTTTAATTAAGTTGGATTCTTTTTCTACGACTCCCTCTTTCAAAATCGATGCTACGTCCCTGTTATGTGTGAAATTCATGCAGTTCATGTATAACTAATAATTCAACATTTGTAGAAACAACATGATATACATACAAT